GCGTTGCACGTGACTATTGAGACTGAACCTCTTAACGCATGGCCACACAAGCCTAAGGTTAGGTATAAAAAAAAAAAAAAAGGACTCGTATTCAGTGAAGAAGTTAAGAGTACTAATACATTAATCAAAACACCAATAAAAATGTAAATACATAGAGGTATAAAGCCACAGGATTTATCCAAAAATCACTGGAACAGCACTTATTCAACTTCTTAGTCTAAAAAAGTGTTCTCCTTTTTACCTTGGAATCATAGAATCATAGAATCATTAAGGTTGGAAGAAGACCCTTAAGATTATTGAGTCCAACTGTTAACCTATCACTGCCAAGTCCACCGCTAAACCATGTCCTCAAGCACCATGTCTACCCGTCTTTTAAATATCTCCAGGGATGGAGACTCAACCACTTCCCTGGGCAGCCTGTTCCAGTGCCTGACTGCCCTTTCAGTGAAGAAGTTTTTCCAAATATCCAACCTAAACTTCCCCTGGCGCGGCTTTAGGCCATTGCCTCTCGTCCTATCGCTTGTTATTTGGGAGAAGAAATGTATGTTTTCTAAATGATAAATTAATTTAACCTGACCTTGTGTTGCTATTGATGCTTTAATATAATTTTTAATACTTCAGTTTATCCTAAAAAGCTTCATAATGTGTCATTATTTGCTAACCCATAGTACAAAACTGGTTTTGTCAGTGGGAGCTTCAGACATTTAAAGTATTTGTTCTAGCATTCTGTTGTTGCACAATCTAATTGTGTTTTAATTTAAGAAAGGAAAATCCTGGAACTGCAATGAAAAATGGCTATTCTAAATATGAAGTACTTCTGTTCCTTTTTGTAGCCTGGTTTTGAATTCAGTCTCATCCTGTTGTAGGTATTTAATGGTTTTCAGGAAGCAAGAAGCTCTTGGATCTCTCTTCTTCATACAGAAGACTAAAGACTATATGTGTTGCTGCTCATAGTGATGCCTTCATTGTTCAACAGTTTATAATGTTAACTTCCTTTAACTGCGGTTTCTCTCTTTGCTGAATTTTCAGTCTCTTCCAAGTAAATAGTAAAATACAGTAACTGAGCTGCTCTGGTGAGACGGGAGGATTAGCTGTGTTACAAAATGGAAATTAAGGCTGACTTCCGCTTAGACACTACTTACAACAGTTTATAAGTTTTTGATTTATTACGTGGTATTCTAGGGATGCATACAAAAATAAATTAATTCCATGGTCCAAACGTCAAGTTATTCCTCCCAACTGCACCCCAGCCCTGAGCTGGGGCCATAGGTCAGGAAGGCACCTCTGTTGTCCTATGACTGTCCCTGTGCAGGCAATACATACCTCCAGGTTACCTTAACTCTTACCGTATCTTAAATCCATCAATTGCAGTAGATTTAAGCGTAAACTCGGAAGTCATCTGAACAAGATCTTTTCTTAAATTAAGGTTCAAGGACTTCTGACACTTTTCAAACCTACCTATCTAACAGGTATAGCAGAAAAACAAAAAAGATTGCATTAAAATTTAAAAATGTAACAGTCCAGCTTCTTGCAGACCAGCAAACAAAGGTTATGCCATGTGCTGTGCTGGTAATTTTTTCATTTTATCTCATCTTGGTCAAACCAAGGTGTGGTATGTGTTCATCAGTCAACCCCATGTGTTAGTAGTGGAGTCGGTTCTGGACGTAAGGAAGGAAACAATTTAGTAAATAGAGAGACAGAGGGAGAGAGACATCAGTTGTGCAGGGCAGCAGGCACAGCAGAAGAGCCAGGCCTCCTCTGTGTCTTGGCTTACAGTGGAGTCTGGTTTGGGGAAAGCCGGGTTGCTGCTGCAGCTGTGGCGGGCCATGCAGGATGGCAGCCCCTCCAGGCACAGGATCCTGGCTCCTTGCTCTGACCCCATCCGCGGAGGGTCTGCAAGGCTGGCTGTCAGCGGCGATGCACGCTTCAAGATTTATCTTTCCTCCCCTCTACTCCGCTTTTTGCAGAAGGAGGGTCCCGGTGCTGAAACCATGCCAGGAGCAGCACAGTTCGGTTTCACCTGTTCTTTGAAGAGCTGTAAGCCTGGCAGTGCCAGGAGAGGAACTGCTGGAAGAGGTTCTTGTGAGGGCTGTCCTCTCCGGGGCTCTGTTTTGTCAACAGAAACGTAAACGGGGATCAAAATCAACTATTGCTTGTAAAGTTCAATGTGAACACACAGAGATGATGGGAACAGCAGGAAAATTATGAAATCTATACCGAGATATTGAGTCTTTACTTTTAACATCCTGTGTGCTTCAAAATTAAAATACTCAGATGATACACAAGATAGTCTAACAAGATGAAAAAAAGAAAAAAAAAAAGATTAAATATTAAGTTACAAATACATATCTTCCTCTCTGAACACAAATAGTGTGGTTTACCCTCTCAAAATAAATAGTTAACCACCAAAATATCTGAAGACACTGTTCCTTTATGCACTGAAGATTAATGCCTTAAAACTAGGTAACTTTTGTAATCCACATAATTAAGATAAGATGGTGATTTAAACAGATTTGGAATACATGATTTCTATAGCTCAGAGGTTCAGTAGCTGTTGGAGTAGCCTGGCATGGGATTAAAGGTGCCTGAAACTCTCTGTTCCCTGTGATTATCCATCTCCCCTCCATTTGCCCATGCAGTGGGATGCTGTCTCTCCCAGACACTCTGTATGTATAATTTCTAAGCAGCATTGGGAACCCTAGGGATTAGAAAAGGTATATGAATGTTTTATAATGTTATTGATAACTGCAGAGCAAACGCTTTTCTAATAAACTGCTGTGAGATAAGTTACTGGTAGCATCTGCAGAAATGTGTGTAAATGAGCTCAAAATAATTAATACTGTGTTAGAAGAAAGCTTTTTTTTTAAAGCACATCTGTATTGGAGCGTATAAGATTATTTCAGCCTGCCCTGAGAATGTGTTATAGCACAAATTACCATAATTTATTAGGGGAAAAGCCATTTCTGTTCATCATATATTAATTATTCATAAAATCTGTATTAATGTTACCTTAATGGGAAGTATTACCAGCTGGGGTACTGGGCTTGGCAATCTGTTCACATACAAAAAAGATGAATAGCTTGACTTAAAAAGAAGACATAAAAATGACTTACAGGAGCATAAAAGCAGCAAGCACGGGTATATGGGTTAACATAGAGCTGGCTATGGTAGAGCAGTCCAGCCAGCTAACCACTTTGTATTTTGGCTCTAGCACTAGTTTGTGCCTGAGTGGAATTCAAGTGGAATTACTGAAGGACGTTCATTACAAACCAGTCCTGTATACCTTGCCCTAATGCTTTTCAGCTCTTCAGCGAGCATAAATCTGGTGAGCCTGAGTAAAACAGAAAGAGACTTTTTCCCGTTCTACTTTAAAAAAAAACAAAACCAAAAAAACCCACAAAAAACCTCAAACAAACAAACAAAACCCCTCCAAAATCTGATTTCAGTAATTTAAATCCAGGATAAATTCCTCCTGCTGGGGAAAAAAAAAAATCAAAAAAGAAAAAGGGGGGGGGGGGGGGGGGGGGGTGGAAGGATTTTTGCAACTTTTTAATCTTCCTGGAAAGCTATTGTGAATTATGTGACATGCGAAAATGCTGCTCAGAATGAATATGCAAGTGTGTATATACGTATGTGCTTCTGCGGGTGTATGTAGCTTTCTAGATGCTCTACTCAATTAAAGGAGGATGTCAACATTTAGAGTATGACTCAAGATTAGAAGGTATGTTTTGATGGAAGTTTAGCAATATCAAACACAGAATGAATTTTCCAAAATTCATTTTAATTGAAACTACTTTTTTTCTGGCTTTTGAAAGATCTCTTGCAGGAATGAAAACCCAAACAGAAAAGGCACTGGCTAATGCATGCAAATGTGTAATGCCTGTAAAGTGCAACTAGTTTTATATGAACAGTAAAAGCTTCATGGGATTCAGCTGAAATTAAATTGTTTAGATCAGCTAGAGCCTTTTTATTAGGACAGCACAATGCTGAATATATAAACACATTTGTTTTACATGTTAAGATAAAAGACTGTTTATTGGTAAAAGATTTTTTTTTTAAATGACAGTTAAGACCTTTAACGTGTGATCTGTAAGCTATCATCTGATGAATTTTGGCCAAAGCCATGGAAAAGAAGCATTTGGAGTGGGAAGCCAACCCAAAAGAAACAGAAAAAATAATTTTTAAAATTGCATAGTTTTCAGTTAGACCAGGAAACCTAGGCCTGATCTTGGAACAGCATATAGAGCTGGGTGGTCTAAAGCTGAACTGTTCAAGAATCTTAGGTAATTATGATTTTTTTTTTTCTGTAACATTGATAGTACTTCCAAGTTTTGGGTGGTGGGTGAGTCTGTGGCATGCAATCAATTGTCATGCCTAACTGATTAATACGAATCAGAAATGAGGTTATTTTGCAGTTTAGATCTTTTTCTTCAAATTTCATTTTCAAAGAAATGTGGTAAAGGAGAAGCGTATATGGGAGCAATTTGTATCTGGAGAGATTACCAACTAATGTTATAAAAGAGGCTGTATTCTGCAGTCTGCTGATGGTTATTACTAGCCGTGGATACCAGGAGCTCCTTGTACATAATGCGTCCCGGCACCATTTTACACTTGCACATGAAGATTTTATCAGAGTTCTGCAGAGTCTGGTAATGATAATACTTCAGCATTATAACAAATAGGTAGTACTGTTATTTTGTTCTCTATTTTAGTATATCAAATGTATTTCATTGCTTACACTGTAGTAGCAGATCGAAACCATCTGCTGTCTTGCCACTGGTCCACCAGTCTAACAGAAAATCTTAGTTCATTTTCCTTGAGGACAGTATGCTTTAAGGCATGTTTACTAGGACTATAATCCAGCTGCTGAATGTTGATACAAGTCCAGACCCGTGCTCATGAGTCTTTTAAATGGAAACAATCCTCTTTGCCAAGGATTGGAACAGAGATAAACTCAGTTTGCTTTTCTCTCTTCCCTCCTCCCCCCATCCCTTTTACAGCTCCATCCCCTATCACAGTCATAAGGAAAGACAGGACATCCAGGAACAGCGTGTCTCTGTCTTGGCAAGAACCCGAACATCCAAATGGGATCATCTTGGACTACGAGGTCAAATACTATGAAAAGGTGGGAAGAAAGATTGAAAGGAAGGTTTTTGTGCTGGTAATACTGTAATGAAATTATTGCATCTTGCCTATGCTAAGTGTTTGGAGACACCCCTGTTTCACTCACTGTGAGCCTCAATGACACCAAATGTTGAAACTGTTCAATTTTTGGTAAGGAGAACATCATGAAAATAGGAATTGAAATTGTTAAGTTGTGTTGTCTACCAAGTTCATCCCCAAACACATCAGAACAAATATAGAAAGTAATGCAGACAAGCTGTAATACTTTTTTTCTTGAGTACAGTTTACTTACTCAGTTCTGTTATGCTGTCAGTGGTCATACATTTGTTTGTCAGCATCCGTGTGTTGGTGCTTCCCTGTGGCACAAGCATCTTTCAAACAAAAACAATTTGGAAAAGAGACGGGCAATCCTTTTAGTGACTGGTTTGCACTATTAAAGTTCCCACTTTTCATGAATAACTGAATTCTTTGTAAATTTTCTGTAAATAACTACAAATCAAAGAAAATCTGCCATTAAATAGGTTCTTCTTTATATTGACATTTTCTTGTATTTACAGCTGTTGATTTCTACATCATATATAGATCTGTATTTAGGGAAAAAATAAATCTTCATAACAGAATGGGTTTTTTTAGTAAATCTTACTGGTAGGATTGAAAAGACCATAAATTGTTTTGAAGATTGTGAAGAGTGGTATTAGCCATTTTTAGATTGGTCAGAGAGACCTTTTGAAAGAATATATTGCTACTGAAGTTGACAAACTTTGAAAAAATGTCAGAAAAAATGATTTAATTTAACATTTACTAATGTTGTTCATATCTAGTAATCAGACATATTTCATATGTACCAGGGAAGACGTGGTACCAATATCCACTTAGAAACTGCTGTTAAAAAGACTCCATGGGTATTCAGTTAATCTTTAGAAAGTTTTCTCATGGAGCTTACCAGTGGGACAATGTGGTATGATAGTCCATGCCTGATCTCCAGCCAAAGAATGGGAATCGGAAGGCCCTATTCAGAAAAGATTTCTCCCAAATTAATATATCATCTAATTTTGGGTGGGTTTTTTTTGATGAGCACTTGAACCTTCAAAGACCTTGGTAAAAATCTGAACTTATGTAGTACTACTGATAAAAGGGGAAAAAGAAAGCTTCCTAAACGTTTCAGTTCAGTCTCACCTTATAGAGCAGTAACCTACAGACTTTCACTTGGGTTTTTTTCTGTTATTTCAATGGGGACAGGATCAAGTCCGGATCCTGGGCTTGAGAAGGAAAAGAGAACTGTCTCATACATCAGATTTGTCTTTATTTGTACATCCTTAGCACTGAAGGGACACAGGAGTTATTTAGGCTCTCGTTTCCAATTTTTTAAAGAAAAGAAAATAGATACTGCCTTTTAGTAAGGCTTTGGAAGAGCTATTTACCTCACAGAGAGACTACACCTGAAAGATCCAGGAACCTCAGCCTGTTTTGCACAGGCCAGGTTATTTGTCTGCATGATTAACTCGGGCTTCATGGGAGACCTACCTGGCTGCTCTTGCTGCCGTTGGCCGTACCTTTGTTTTCCAAGAGCTGCGGCAGCCATGGCTCAGCTCCACCTCCAGCCTCCCCGGGTGGAAGTCCTCGCCTGGGCAGCTCTGCACGAGTACCGCGGGGCACAGGAGGCAATGCGCGGGTGTGACGCACGTCGTGGCATTAGGCTGATCTCTCTGGTTTTAGTTGCTCCAAAGGGAGAGAATTTTTCCCCTTCTGTGCCTTTAGTTCATTTTGATTGAATGACGGAGAAGTTTTATTTGTGTTTGGTTTGTTGTTTTTTTTTTTTGTGGTGTTTTGATCATTGTTCTACACTGAAATTGGCTTGCTTTATCCATGAAAATTGTCACCTTCCAGTACTGTTTTATGCACAGACTGAGCATGCGGCTGCTGTTCCCACTGAGTATATCCAGGATTATGGGGTCACTGGTTGTCATAAGACAGCTTCATAAGACAACCCATCT